CGGTTTGGTCAAATGTACCAGTAGTTATTATGAATAATTAACCTTTTTTATCACCTGCTCTTTATGCATTTGTGGCCTGTTCATCAATTTCCTGTTAACTCCGGTGGTTAAAAACACTGTTGCACTCACAGGAATAAAAATCAAATACATAACACACACTTTTATATCACTGCTCTTGTGTGTGTCGCCCTGTGCTCATTGCATCCAGACAAACCTATCAAGCTTTATGAGCCTTTGAGGGCTGCTGCTGCCGCACTGAATTCATGGAGGCTATCAAGTGCATCCACACCGCTGATCTGCAACGGTTGAATAAATATCTGAGTAGACACTTCCACCAGTTCATGTCCCCGGAGTGGAACGTCCTGTTGATAAATGACGTCTGCTGTTCACGATGAAACGCACGCTGTCAATGTGGAGCGCGGCATCGTCGGACGTTCACTCTTTGGATAAGGGTGAAGTCAGTTCCGATTTTTTTTTTATGGCATGGCTTTACTTTAATGGTGAGAGGGTGAATTACTCACCGAAGAGTGGTTCTGTAGGGTTCTTGTCGTGTTCATTTTTTTTTTTTAATGACAAATTGACCTTAAACACCTCATCTTCTCGTTCTCTCATGGCAGTTTTCAAGTCATTCTGGTTGCGCTGGAAAAAGACTGGGAAACTTTGATACCATGATCCCTATGGACTAATGTACGATTTTTTTATACCTCTTTTAATTATGCAATATGCAAATAATGCAATCGTTAATAGTGTGAAATAATTTGTGAAATCAATCCAATCAAAATTGTGTACATATTTCAATGTTTATTTACAATAATTCGTGCAATATGTCCAACACTTCCACCCTTCTTCTACGCTGCACAAAAAAAAGTTTACGTTTCATCAACGCATCTGGAGTGTAAAAAATCCTATCTCAACTCCCAGCATGACTCTCTAGAGAATAGACCTTTTGGGACTGTAGACTAAATAATATTTTCAAAGATTCTGAAAGCAAAGTTGTGACTGAAATCAACTAACTATGTGAATCAATTCACAATCAATTCTCAAATAAGAAGAAACACAAACATCTATATATCATGATCAATAATGATCAATCAAATTAATCATGATTAATCCACAACCACACTGAATAATCAGACAAAAAAAAATACATTGTTTTGTTTACTGAGTTGTGTTTATAGTGAGCTAGCAAAAAAAAAAAAAAAAAAAAAAAAATAGGATAGAGCTGTTTTGTCTTTTTCACAAGAATTTGTCCTCAGTCTGAGGTTCATGCTTTGTCTCTTGTACGTCTGGCACAAGGTCACTGTGTTTTGTCTTTGTCTCTGTTGTCTTTGTTACCTCCCTTCATGTGCTCGTGTGTTTTACTGACGCTTTATTTTGTTTTGGACCCTGTCGAGAAAGATGCGAAACACATGCACATGACACATTTTTCAATCTGCATAAATTACGGCACTACAGTATCCAACTTAATTTACCCAGAAACGACTGGGTAATTTCTTGCGAGGCGACATTTTGCTCAAAAGTGCGGCCTCCCCTCTGTGGACCAAACTATCACTGGTCAACCGGTGATTATGAAAAGAAATGAAGTGTGCAGAAGTGTCTGGATACGGCAGACTGTGATCTCCTCACAGTTGTTATAAAAGTGAATGATGAGTTACAGGTTCACGGGGGGAAAATTGCTTCACATTACCTCCGTGAACTGTTTCTGAAACAGAATTTAGAGGACGTGATGAACGCCTACCCTCTTCCTCGTTAAAGGATAATTTCTGTTCAGGGGCTCGTCCATAATGAAGTCTAATGAGAAATCCATTACAAACACTTAGCAGGAAAATTGCCTCAGTGTGTGGACTTTGTTTCCAATACATTTGTTCATTAATTTATCATTAGAAAAATGTAAGACACAGTACCTGCTTCCAAAAAAAAAAAAAAAAAAAAAAAACCTCAGCAGTAGCTTGAGGAAATCCTACAGCGAGAGAGTCCTTCAGTAAGGAGTTCATTCAGCAAAAAAGGAGTCCCTTTGTTATCCCAGAAATCATTGCAGTGCATCCAGACAACAACCTTTAATTTCGCAGGACTGTCTCGAGAGGGCTATACTACTTTGTGCTGAACAGACAGGAGATATTTTGGCAGTATATCCGCAGTTTTATTATCGCATCCCCTGTGTGATTTATAGGTGCAATATTACGACTTCATTATCACTGTAGCTCAACGCAGGACATTACGGTTAGCGCGGCCTTTTGTAAACATATTCAGTAAAAGAAATGCACAACACACTGCAGTGAAATTCTTTATATATATACCTATATATGTATATATCTATATATATATACGTATATATGTATATATTTAACATATATATATATATGCATATATGTATAATCTAAACTAAACATATTTTATATACACATGGGGTGTCCTCAGTTTACAAGGTCCTGGAGCTAACATTAGCTTCTTCAGATAGGGTGCAGTTAGCTAATCTACAACAGACCGGATGACAAGGCTCAGAGCCAGAAATATGTCATATGTCGTAATATGCTGAAAAGAAAACGTTTTTGGTTCACGTAAATATTTGATCAAGGTCTCTGTTCAAATCCACAAATAGCTATAGTACCTGATGATACTCAGCCCCCTGTTGGCTGTAGCAAACACCCCCCAAACATTTCCCAACTAAAGTCACAGTCTTGAATAGATTCACAAAGACAGAGAGAAAGATTTGGCATATTTTTTACATTCGTCGTATCCTTGGCTTCGGATTGTGGATTTTTTTTTTTTTTGTCACAGAGATTCCAGGTTTTTTAAGAGTACCTTTTGTCTTTTTATAGTATTTGCCTCCTGGTGGATTTATTTTTGTGACTCAGTGCTTCTATTGAAATATGTATGCTGTTGGAAACGGGTTGTCTTGTGAAGACGGGTAAACATCCATAGTTTTCTGTGTATTTGTTCAGTGTTCACCAGTGTCTCCTACAACGTTGTGATTATGGATTTTTATAAAGTACTCATGTAGCCACACCTTCTATCCTTACTACTACGTTCTTTAAATGAATGTTAATGTTAAACTTAACATCCGAGTTGCTAAAAATAAACCCGCATCGTGAAATTCACAAAGAAGTTACGACCTTTTTCTATTTTACCTCAGTATCCTTAAAACTCGTAAACACAAGAAAAGCAAAGAAACACATGACTTACAGTGATATCACTACAATACTAGTTTAATGGTAAAAGTTTAATCAACGATGAGTTCACGATTTTCCTTTATCGAGGGTTTCTCTTTTATTTGGTTAGGCTGCTAACATGCGCACGTTCTTGACTTGTTAAAGTTTTAACCTAAAATTCTTTACAATTTTTCTTTTAATGTTTTTTTCTTCTTTTTTTTTTAATAACCACAGTTCAGAAAGTTTTCTCAAAGCCCACGAAAAGAACAAATTAGTCCCTTGCAGCCCATTAATTTTATTCGGATTCAACGGCAGTAAAATGTCGTTGGGTTCTTTCATCCACTGACGGATCACCTCCCCATTATCCTCAACTTACCTTGTCCTATTTTACCAACCTTTTTATTAATGAAGTTGCTATTTTTTTTCCATCCCGTAATAATCTTATCTCCAGCTTAACCTCGGTAATTATTCCCCTCTTTCTTCGTGGCCGAACCTGCTTTCATCAATTAGGTCATAATCTCCATTTACATTGTACGACAGCAAACCTCTCCCTTCTTCTTGTAACTTTTTACGAGTGAAGTAATCCTTACAGTGTGAGCCCCTCGAAAGCTGAAAAAAAAAAAAAAGTTTTAAGTGGGAGGTCATAAATGCAGCACAAACACGGTCTGGCGTTTGGAAAAAGAGAGGCAGGACGTTCGGCTGTCAGAAACCAAAGACTTTGAGTTTATTCACAATTCATTAAATGTGAAGAGGCAGAGTGCAGGGTAATGAGGTTTGTGTAGTGGCTTTCAGAGTACATAAAGATTACCCTGTGACAGTGAGCAGAGGCAGTCCACTTCTTCTACAGTAAGTGGTTGAGGCAAAGACTGGTTTTAGAGTTAGGGCTAAAGCTGCAGCTCACGCTGCGTCACGCTCGCTGACCAAAGGCAGCCGTGCCAATTTGAACGGAAAACAATTTAGTCATAATCTGTCGCTTCGGCGAAAAACATCTAGTGGCTTGAAATAGATAGTAGTGAGTGATGAGCGATACCAGATTTTTTGATTCGATACTTTTTACTGTTTTGGCTTTTTATTTATACCGATATACAGAAGGTAATTTTTTTTTTTTTGAACGCTTTTTCTTCCTCAATACTTGCCACTTTTTTAAAATTTGCTCAAACAGTTGATTTGAGGTCAATTTCGGTAAACACTCCTCAATACTTGCCACTTTTTTAAAATGTGGGTAAACAACATGCAGAATGAATCAACAAATGGATTAATCCATCCATCCGTCCATCCATCCATCCATCCATCCGTCCATCCATCCATCCATCCACCCATCCATCCATCCACTCATCCATCCATCCATCCATCCACCCATCCATCCATCCATCCATCCGTCCATCCATCCATCCATCCACTCATTCATCCAACATTCCAGTAAATAAGAATATATTCACTATGCTGAACAAAAAATCTAGATTGTTTACCCTGTCCATTAAAACAGAGGCTACAAGACTTGCTTTTCAATCTTGTGAAACTAAGGCGCAATCACATTCCTTTCGCCTAAAAAATGACAAATTAGTGATAACTAAAAACTGTAGTCAAAAGTATCAGTCGATTTCCGTGAATCACTTGAAGTCACATTCTACGTTTTTTCGCAGCACTGAGCTGGAGGCAGGGCTAGGTGCAAGCTCTTGCTAACAAGCCAAAGGATCCATCTTCCTTTTCTGCGACGATACTATAAGAGGGTTCTGTATGATTGGGTTGTGCTCACAGTGCCCCCGCAGGGGGAATGCATAAAAACTGAAGCAGTGTGAATGTGGTCTTTTCATAGTGAATATATTCAGATGGTTTCAAGGTGAAAAAAAACTTTTGCATAACATATATTGCAAAACATAAATTGAAAGAGTTCTTTGAGAAAATCCTTCATTGTGTCATTTATAGAAAGTCTGGTCTGTCTAGTCTGGGTCCTGCTTCTTCAGCTTTACTCTATTGGCCACGTCTCAAAATTAGCAACGGCGTATGACAGTACGATTGCGATACACAGTCTTACACAAATAAACCTGAACTCCGATGTTTTCCCCCACAGGTCGTAAGTTTGTCATCGCCAACGCCAGGGTGGAGAACTGTGCCATCATCTTCTGCAACGATGGCTTCTGCCATATGTGTGGTTATTCCCGGGCTGAAATCATGCAGAAGCCGTGCACGTGCAACTTCCTGTATGGACCTGACACCAAGCGACTAGCTATAGCCCAGATGGCGCAGGCCCTGCTCGGGTCAGAGGAGCGGAAAGTGGAGATCAACCTCTACCGCAAAGACGGTAGGAAACTACGTCACGGTTTCTATTTTTGTGTTTTTGCAGAGTGTGCATGCGGAGAGTACGCCACCCGATGTTAGCCTCTGCTTGGTGGCAGCAAAATATTTGCACGAGCCTGAAAGTGTTAGGGAACAGAATGTTGGTATCCAGATAAGTGAGAATTCAGACAGTCTGCCATTAAAAGGTCAGTATTTGTGTCTTTTGTACTAGTATTTCTGCTTCGCTTTCCTAAATATGGGGTGAGACTTTTGAAAGTGTGCTTGGAAATATGATAGAAAATACTGGATTCGGATTAACCTCAATGCAAGTAAAACTTGAAGGATGTAGACGGTAGGAACATACAGTAAAATATCATTTTGGTTTTCTTGTGTGCAATATATTGGCTTGTTTAAAAGCTACGTGTGAGTGACCATCGTCTGATTTCTTGCTGGAAAACCTAAGATATCTTCATGTCGCTCTCATGGGTGCGTGGGTTTCCACCCACATCCCAATATCATGACCGTAGGTGTAAATGTGAGTGCGGATGGTGCTTTGTCTCTGTATGTGTCCCTGCGATGGACAAGCAAATTGTCCACCATTTATCCTCACCCGACCCAACGGGAGATAGTGGATGGATAAGCTGCTGTTCATTTCATATGTACCGTATTTTTCGGACCGTAAGGCGCACCGGGTTATAAGGCGCATTAAGCGAAACAAAACAGTCCAGGACCAATTTGAAAAAGGGTAGTGACCTAAGTTGGACACTGGAGGATGCTGTTGTTGTTGTTCGCCCCTCCAGAGTCAGGCGGTTGTCACTATTTTTGTTCGGGATGGTCACCGTATTGTTGTTTTGACGCTGTTCCGTGCGGGAGTGCGGATGTTGTTTTGCAGAGAGAGATTGGGTTTTTCCTCTATCGATTAAAAAAGAAGAAATAAAACGAGTTCTTGACCACGAAAAAAACGACAGACACATAAAAAGAGTTCTTGACCACGGAAAAATCGTTCAGACACGTGTCTGAGTCGTTCTGCATCGCACCATACGTCGACAATACAAAAACACAACGTAGAGTCTCCGGGTGTTGAGAGGCACGACGCGACGTTGCACGGATGTGGTTTACACAACTGTAGTAACTGCCTAAGTTAGTGTGATGCGCTGTGTAGTTTGGCTTTATAAAATCGGTTCCAGGTCAGTAGGCGCAACCAAAGGTAATACATAAGCCGCTCCGGGTTATAAGGCGCACTGTCGATCTTTGAGAAAATGAAAGGCTTTCAAGTGCGCCTTATAGTGCGGAAAATACGGTATAATATATACAATAGAAATCTCAGCCATTCGCAAACGCACACTGCCGCTCAGCTAGCCATGGGATTCAAACCAGCAACCTTCCAATTTACAACCCTGACCCCCGTAACAACTAGGGATAAATCATCCAAAAGTTTGAATCCAAATTCGTTTTGTAACTATCGTGGAACGACGTTCCTGTTAAGCAGGGATGTACATTTGAGGAAGGGAAACCCCTCGGTGGAATCCGCCACGATGGCCCGAGTGTATTTATGTATGCATACATGCCAACTGGATCACGACCAAGTAATAGGACACTGGTCGTTCGCAGTGATAGGCAGCGTCCATGGTGATAAAGAGCTGTCGTTGTTAATAAAGACAGCAAGTCCCTGGACCGTGGCCAAAGCATCTGTTGGACACTTTCCACGACAAGAAGACAGACACCAGAGCAGCAGGAGGGGAGAAAGGGAAAAGTATGGAAATGTGGAAAGAGTCAAGGGTTTAAAAAAAATGAGTTGGGGGAGTGAAGGGGGGGGATCAGGATATATGATTATTAGAGGGGAAACGCAGGGGAGTAGAAGTCAGGCAGGGTACGGAGAAATAAAGTGAAATGACAGGTCATTTTTTTTTTTTTACTCCCGTAAAAAGTGTTTCTCACATGAATTGACTTTATTTAATAAGTTTAACATGAATCATTTGACGCCATTCTTGTACGACTATCGCCCAGTGTTTCTGAACGTTGGGAGTCCTCCACTCTGCACATCTCACTTTCCACTGTTTACACAAGCTGGGCAGGCGCTCTCCTTCTTTCCCTCCGTCCCCCTCTCTCCTCCTTCCTATTAGACGTAAACATGCGCACGAAAACACAGCGACTGCACAAAGGTGCCTCGTAAAAAAAAAAAAAAATCCCCTGCATATGAAGAAAAAAAAAGAAAAGAAACGGAGCTGTTGTTGCATTTCTGTCACACCGCCCGTGTTACCGAGAGACCGCAGGACATAGCTGAAGGCTTCGGAGGCAACAACGAGCGATTCCTGCCCTGTTTCATTGTCAGTGTGGTCTGGTCGTTACGAACGACAAAGCTGTTGATCTAAGAAAGGAAAAGGAAAAAAAAAAAAGAAGTGAATCTGAAGTCACAGGTCTCAGTCCCTGCATTTGTCTTCAGGTTCTGTCACTAGTTTCATTTCAGACCTTTGGCATTGCAGGTAAAAAGTTGCCGATCGATGAGGCATTTTAAAATGTTTTCGCAAATACTAACTAAGAAATGATGTACGGTAACAGTTCCCAAATCTATAATCATGTCAATCCCAGACGTTAATAACGTTAGAAATAATATAAATGGCTACAAAGAACTCATTTTACGGGGTTTTGTGCAGGACTGTCAATACGGTCATTAGGTTTGTCAATAAAATGACTTGATTTAAGGCAAAGAAATACATTTGCTTTGCAGTGTAAATAAATAAGTCAAATTGTGCTGAAGACCTGGAGTGTTTTAAAACAGCTCCATATACTGAAGTGTCTGACACAACTGTAAATGAATAGAATCAATGATGTGTAGCAGCTGATGTTTACTCGCCTGTCTGCTGACTAAGGGCTTTTCCAGAGTTATGAATTGTTGTAATCAACAATCGCGCCACGTAACGTCTGACGAATGTAGGGCAACTGACCATTTGATGCCCCCGAAACAGTCTGTCAGCATTCTATCTTATCATCCTACGTAGGGAAAATGAGGCTTTTATGCAGATGACGAAAGCCAGACGTTTAATGATAGATGGTGTCATCAGCGTAACATCTCACCCTAATAACACTAACATTAAAGTTCAGCTTTGTATAAAGGAGAATTATTGATAGCTGCTATTTTTAATATTTCTGGCTTCAATCAAATCAAAACAAATCACAACAAACTCAAAAGTATTTATTGATTGATTTTTAAAAAGTCTTGGTTTGGTGTGAAAAGTATCTTCGGTAACCTGCCAAATTCTGCATTTTTAACTTTAGCAATTGTAGAGCATCAACCGATGAGACAATAATTAAAAAGCCTGGTCTTTATTAAGATATAGGTAGACCATGAATATATTGCTATACTTTACAGTGTGCTCTGAGACAATAAATCACAATTTCTTGTTGTCCTCCAGGGATATGGTAGAGTTCCGTGAGAGTACATACGTCATCAAAAATATACCTCACTAACAGCCCTGACATGACTTTGTTCCTTACTACAGGCTTAAATTTGTCTTGTTGCCATGGAGTGGCAGCAGCCCACTGTCAGCATAACCATGGGACACGCGCTCTTGGAAATGTCAACCCAGGCACTTACCTCAGGGGCTGTACAGTTTGCGCAAGCATAGATGAATACGGGACGGAGCCTTTGTCGCAGGGTATGCTTAGACTCACTGCAACCAATCATCGTAGTGACAACAACACGTTGTTGTTAGTTTGCAGACATCAAGACTGGAATCAAAGTCTTTTTGATCAGCGGATGATAAAGATGCCTGCGGAGGGCGTCTGTTATCTTTGAACACTAATGACTGTGATCTCTGTGATTCTTGCATTGCGTTTATGGTCCCTCTCTGTCTGTATCGCACACTCACAAAGTCTTAGGTAACCCCAGCGTGTCGCCTGGAAGCCATCGGAGAGCCACTGATCGAACGTGGCGGACACACCTCATTCATAATGCACACAGCCACGAAACATTATGCCACCTCCTCCCATCCCCTTATTCCCCTTCCTCTCTTCTCTTGTCTTGCAAAGGCAAAAAAAAATAGTAGAACTGTCCTTTTTTTTTTTTTAATATATATATATCTTAAAGTACCCTGGGAACCGATTGTGCAGGTGTGTGTTGTACCCAGAAAGGTGGGACTAGGTAGCCGCGGCCCAGCCACACATACAATACATGCTTGAGGAAACACAGACACACGTGCACATGCACACATTCGGGTGAACACAATGGACATGTGCACGAGCGGACTTCATCTGAGCCCATTTATCTAGTGCCAGGCTCAGGCATGAGCCTTCACGATGATAGATCTCCCTCCTCGCTCTCACGCTCAATTGTCTGACTCCGATTGCTCACCAGCTTAATCAATCTTGCTCTCCAGGTAAACTGTAATAGGAAATGTTCACACACACACACACATGCATGCATACATGCACAATGCTGCCCCAATTGGGTATAGTTGTAAAGTTTTAAAATGCAAAGCCATACACAATCATTTCGTGACTTGCGTCGGGATTCGGTTCCTAGCGTCGTAATTTTTTGGTCATAAATACGTACTATATATCGCAAAAAATATAGGAAGGAATTGAGTTAAATTACAATTACTCAGGTTAGAGTTTATTTATAGTTACACATTCTTGAATAAAACATTTTCCGTATTTAGTAAAAGCAAGTTTTAATAATGGCGACTGTAGGTGTAAAGTTTCCTAATTTGTGTTTTGTCCTGCAGCCATTCTAGGTGTTTATTGGTCCAAGGGGGCTAGAGTGTCATGGTTTCATGGGAAATTTCGTGTTTTTTTCCCGTCAGGTTAGAGTTTATTTATAGTTACACATTCTTGAATAAAACATTTTCCGTATTTAGTAAAAGCAAGTTTTAATAATGGCGACTGTAGGTGTAAAGTTTCCTAATTTGTGTTTTGTCCTGCAGCCATTCTAGGTGTTTATTGGTCCAAGGGGGCTAGAGTGTCATGGTTTCATGGGAAATTTCGTAATTTTTTTTTTCCATAAATCAGGCATACAGAGAATGGAAA